CTGACGGAGCAAGTAGACACTGTTAATGTTTTATACCATCAATTTGTTTTAGTTTCATCCACAAAAGATTTGAATGCTTTCAGTAAATATTTTGGAACTAAAAAAAAAAAAATTTCGTTCACATTTATTATTTTTGTTGTTGTTACTGGCTACTCATTTCTATGTCTCAAAATCTTTTCAGTCCATTTTCCTTCTTCCTTAATACCCTGACACTTCTGAAGACTACAAAAGATTTTGGATGTCTCTCAAATCTGGCCTTGTCTAATGTTTCTTCATGATAAAATCCAGGTTATGGATTTTTGGCAAGATTATCCCAAAAGTGATACTGTGCCCTTTCAGTGCATCACATCAGGAGGTACAAGATGTCAGTATGTCTCATGACTGATTACTGATTATTGGTTACTTTTATTATTTAGTTATGGTAGTATAACTCCATGCCTCTTAATAGCTCTCATGTTTTCCATCGCTATGTCTCTATGTTACATTCTGTATAATTTCTTCAGCTCCATCCTCCCATTTATTATTTCTTTCTCCAAATGTGTCTAATTTTTTGTTTTAACATGTGCATTGTTTTTCTAATTTAAACTTTTTAATTATCACGTTTCCAGATTTTTTCCAAAATGCCCTGATCAATGCTGGTAGTCTTTGGTTCTTTCATTTTACTTTAACTCCCTCTTTTAACATACTTATTTTATATTTCATATCTATTAATCCAAATATCAGTAGTCTTTCAGAGTTTCACTCTATAGTTTATTTCCTCTCATTCTTGCTCATGGTAGCCTGTTTAACAATTTGGAGATGGTGAGGGGATGTGCATTCATGTTCAACTGAAATCCTACCTTTGGCAATTTTTTCAGATGTCTATTTAAAGTGCCTTTCTTTGAGAAGGACTGGCATTTGCTTTGGCCAAGAGACTAGTAGTAGCACCAACAGAGGATCTCTTAAACTAGATTTCTGTCTTGGTTTTTTGGAGGCCACACAAGTAGTATAAACTCAGGCTCAAACCTCCATGAGTTAGGGCCTGTGGTAAAGAGAAAATTTTTTTAAAAATTCTACTCAAAGTCAAGGTACTTTGCAACACTCCCCCTCTGTGGTATGGTTATCTACTTTTTTTTCTTTTAGCAACCAAGAATGGAATTCTTTGGAAGTCCTGACTTTATTTGGGTGGGGGTAGGAGGGCTTCAGTTTCGACTTTTCACCTTGCTTGGGTCCAGAGCTCTCTTTCCTGTTCCCAGACACTAGGCCAAAAGGATACGGAAGTAACTCCAGAACAAACACCACTTCCAATGATAGCTTATCAGCATAGATTCATGTTAGCTCAGTATTTCTGGCTTCCGCGAGATCCTTCCTTTTTACTCAGTTCAGCCATGAAATAAGAGTTTTGATTTGCTTTTTAATCTAGCATTTTCTGGTATACTAAAATGCAAAGTTTCTTTGTACCTCTAGCTCACCATATTGCCAAAAACAGAGGTCCTTAAGGTTTTTTTGAATAATGATAGGGGAAAAAATGCTTTAGAGTTTAGCAGAAAAGGCAAGAGTTTTTAATGATAATTTTTAAAAAGAGATCTGGATTAAATTTCAGGTTCTTTATAAAATATGACTAATAATCACAGAATCAACCTCAATGAGTAGAAAGTGAGAAGAGGGTTTCCTACCAATTCACATTTGTCCTGTTTGGCTATTCCCTGCTGCCTAGAGTTACTGTTTTTACAGACCACCCAGAATGGGCCAGTTCCTTGAATCCTGTGCCAAAAATCACTAGATGCCTTCTTTACCATCTACACAATATCAATAAGGTCAGAAAAATTAACCCTTTTAAGTCTATTTGGTTTATTTTCTTTTTCGGTGTAATAACTATTTGGGTACGCAAAACTCTTCAAACTAGTCAGTTTTGCTACATATTACTTTGACAAAACTCTCTTACTTTAGACATAAGATGTATTTACATTTCAACACCAACTGCCTTCAGGAAATGTTTCTTAAGGCATACCTATATTTGGCAAACGTGTGTTATATATTTTCTCACTTGGACCCATACCAGTAAGGCACAAAAGTTCAATTCTACATTGAACATCTGAAACAACATTAACAACACTATTATGGTAATGTGAGCTCTTCTGAAAGAGTTCAGGTTCCTAAATCTAAAGTGCTTTTGAAATCTCTGATTAAAATGTCTATTCATCTGGCCAGACTTAGTTTTGTGGTACCTGAAAAAAGTTGAGTTAGAACTCATGGTCTGTTATTTAAAAGCCTATGCAGTTTCTATACCAATCAAAACAGAAAAATGCTTGCTTTATATACACACACACACACACACACACATACATACACACACATACACAAGGCCACGGATGTGGAAGTTGTTCAATAAATATCTTCCAGGTGGTACTAATAAGGTTCAACTAGGGAGTTCCTGTTCCTCTGGCAGACTCCCAGGCCTAAGAAGATCCTCTGTCTTGCAGTGAAAAAGACTGCAAACGGTGAGGTCAATTAAGAAATACTTCTGAATAATACACATGATGGAATATCTTCATACCCAACATTGCTTCAGGGGTAGATTTCAGCCTTTCAAGTCATTGTTGCTTTCCAGCTTTGATATTTCACTGTTTGTGCTGAATTTTCTCCAGAAGAAATAATTCCTGCTTTGTGTGAATTTTTGTAGCCAGTTTCTTTCCTATTTCCTTCTTGGTATCTGGAGATATTCCAACTTGTTAAGACATTTTGATATTTCTTCATTCCTTCTAGCTCTTCTCTGTTTTTTTATCTTCAGTCTAAGCCTTTTAAACATGTTTTAAAAATCTGAACAGTTCCTAATATTCCCACTACTTCTTGGCTTTCTGTTCCTAAAGCCTTCTCATAAAGACAGACATAGATTTCCTTGGGTTGCTCCTCAGGATTTTCAAGTATTTCAACTTTCTCCCATTCTTAATTACTCTTTTTGTACTATCCATCTAATTTTTTTAAACACAAACCTTTATTGATAAATTGAGACCATCCCCTCCATTAATGGGTCAATCTACTTGCTCATGGTCAATCTCCTTGGGTAATCTCAGCTACTCCACTAACATCTCTGTCTATCTATCAGATAATCGGTAATTCCCAATATCGAGTCACTGTCTCCGGAGAAGGCAATGGCAACCCACTCCAGTACTCTTGCCTGGAAAATCCCATGGACGGAGGAGCCTGGTAGGCTGCAGTACATGGGGTCGCTAAGAATTGGACACGACTGAGCAACTTCACTTTCACTTTTATGCATTGGAGAAGGAAATGGCCACCCACTCCAGTGTTCTTGCCTGCAGAATCCCAGGGACGGGGGAGCCTGGTGGGCTGCCGTCTCTGGGGTCGCACAGAGTCGGACACAACTGATGCAACTTAGCCGAAGCAGCAGCAGTCACTATCTCAAATTTATACGAACAATAAAAACCATTATTTTCTATCATGAAACTATTCATCTTTATATGTTGGCTACTTCATATAAGAGTATCACCATTCGGTCCCTCAAGAGAGAAATTCTGGAATTATGTTTACTTTTTCTCTTTTCTTCCTCACATTCATCATCAAATCCCACAGAGTTTACATCAGAGATGCACCCTGGGATAGTCCATCCTTTCTATCACCATAGTCCAAGTTCAGACTCTCATCTATTGCTTTACATGTATCAACAGAATCCCACGCTGTCTCTGTCAAAAGTTCCTCCTCCATCCAAACCATTTTCAATACCACCCTCAGAGTCATTTTAGTCGTATTCCTAAGATTCAAAACTGATTATGTTACCCTCTGCCTAAAAACCCAGGTTTTTTTAAAAAACTGGTTTACAGTAGCACTGTACATAACAGCATACTAAGCCCTTCATTATCTGGCCTCACTTGTATCACTAGCTATATTTCCTCACACACACTTCCACATACATAAAATGCACTGAATTTTTCACTTTTTTTCTGAACATGTCAGCCACTTTGTTAACTGTGCCTTTTATCATGCTACTCCCTCTGCATGGTCTGCCTTTCCCATAGTTTTCACCAGGTGAATGATCATCATACTTTAAGAGTCAGCTTCCTCTATGGGATTTCCCTTATCAGTCTGGCATTCAACAACATGAATTGAGCATCTATCAATATGACATGAACCTTCTCCGCAAGGAATGCATATTCTCATTTATATTCTTTTAGTACTTTGTTCATGCTGATGTTATGACATCTATCACACTGTTACACTCATCCTTGTACGCGTCTCCCCTCACAGCTGGATCGTGAGGTCTTTACAGGTATGGCCCCTGTCTAATTCCTCTCTGGCTCCCCAGCACCTAGGGTATGGATTTTGTTCATGTGTAAAGTACGCCATGCTTAGCGGGAATCGGAAAAAGATGATTTTCAAGATCCCTTTGAATTCTAGTATTCTATGATTTCAACATAAATGCAGCATTTCTTAGTTGTGATTTAGCTGAAAACCTGTGTCAAATACAGCTAGAATGCTTAAAATATTTATATTAACTCCTGTTCCAAACCTACTGAAGAGGAAACAGAATTACTGCTCTAGTTAGGGAGGAAATCATTCAAGCGCCTTATAATCACTGACACTCAAGTATCATAGTATTGAGGGAGGTAATAATATAATTACAATTTAAAGGTAAGTAATTGAGGCATAGAGAGATTAAGTAACTTGAATAAGACAACAAAGTTACTAAGCTAAGTGGGGAAGCTAGGATTTGAACTCAGTCTAATTTCAAGGCCCATGATCTTTCTCAGGTCAGTATTCTGCTTTATCAGTGCTCGGTTTAATAACCTAAGGCTTCTTTCATTTACAAAAAACATGAACTTTACTTTCTGCCAGACCTACATGAAGAACAAGAAAGAAGAACCAATCTTTCTTCTGTCATCTTGCCTCTGAGGAGGAAAAAAACAAATCCATTTTTCCCTAGCGTATGACTAGAATAAATATAATAAATAATAAAAATTCAAATTTCTAGCATTAGTATCCAAAACAAATATCTATACACTTACCTCATGGGTCCATAGTTCAGCACTACAAATGCCAAAACTATCATCACACAGATAGCTCTTCGCTTCGGACTAGGAACTTTAAGCCTCCGGTTCTAAAGAAAATGATCATATTAAATACAAACAAATTACACATCAGTCTCACAAAAAGCAACATCTAAGATAATAATAACTCTCCTTTTTACCAGCTATGAGAATGCTTAAATGAAAACCAAAATGCAAATATAGGAAACAGTACTTTTCTTTTTTTTTTTATAGAAACAGTACTTTTCAAAAGACTAAAGCAGAGCCTTTCAGAGAGAAAAAAGGAGAGGAGTAGGAGAGAAGAAACCTAGCAACCCTTGTTGCAGGAGCTTCTTCACCTAAAAGGGAAGAATTCAACAATTTTATGTTTTTATGAACCTTCAAAGAATCCCAAGGCACTGTACTTTAGTAATTTGTCTCTCTCTTAAATCACTGTTTTCAGTAACATAATGGAATATTCCCATGTGCTCAGGGGAAGATAGAAAGAGCAATGTAAGAAGCCAGTCTCTGGGGAAGTGCCTGGCGGTCTGGTGGTTAGGACTCCATGCTTCCACTGCAGGGAGCATGGGTTTGATCCCTGGTCAGGGAATGAAGATCCCACATGCTGCACTGCACAGTCAACAAAAAAGTCCCATTCACTAAGCAGAGGCATCTGTTTGGTTCAAGAAAGCACTGTGGTAGGAAATTCTGAAAGCAGCAGATTTCATGAACAGAATTGAGATGATTAGCCTCGCTGGGACACATAGCAACAAAATACAAAGTATGGTATAGACGCTGGGTGAACTGAGAACATATTAAATTTTTAAATTTTTTATTGTTTACTCTTTTAAAAGGGAAGACCTAGGGGGACTACTTAGGAGACCTGATGTGATTCATTTAGTCAAAAAAAAAAAAGAGAGAATGGATGCTATGATAATAAGGGAGAAGAAACCCAGGAAAAAGAGACAATTTTTATACATAGCTTGGGAGGTACAATTCAAAAGCTCCTCTTTCCAACACTTTATTCTTACTACAAATGTTTTTGGGCTTAATGTGCCTGCCTTTTGCTATTACTATTTTACAAAATTTAATTTAAAATGTAAAATTTCCAATTGCTTTATCAGGAAAAAAGAATACTTCAACCCATCACCTCAGCTCTACCACGAACTAGCACTCACCTCTGATACAACTTCGTCCAGCTGCCGCTTCAGTGAACCGTTCTCTTTCTTCAGCTTCTCATTCTCCAAAAGGGCTGCCTTTAACCTTGCCTCTAGGCCTAGCATGTATTCTTTCTTCTTCTTGCGGGACTGACAAGCTGACTCTCGATTTTTAATCATACGTTGCTGTCTCCTTAGCACAGCAATCTAGGAAAAGTTACAGTAAATCAAAAATAGTTGGATTTTAGAATCAGATCAGTGAAGAATATACTGATTTTTATAATTATCTTTAAGCAAATTGTTCAAAAGATAGCTTACTTTTTTTTTTAAATACTCAAATGAAATAAACCGAAATCAAATGATTAAATAAGGCCTTCTAAAACCTGTTAAATGATTTCTTCTGGTGTTTTCACCAGAAATAAGACTTATTTATTGATAAATAAAAAATAAGATTTACTTATTGATCTTCCTCTTTTCCCTTTAGAAATACTATATATATATGTATACATACAGCTTTAATCTATATCACAGACCCTGAATTACTTGACTGTTTTTCAGAACCATCTATCCTGTTACTTATAGGGCCACTTCTACTGGTAGAGTTACCAGCACTTCAAATTCACCATGTGCCAACTGAATTCATTATCTCCCTCTACCTATTCTTTAAAATCTATTGATCTTCTATCAATGGTATCTCTCAGGATATAAAGGAAGGTGTGACCAGTAACCTATTTTTCTTTCATTCCCTAAATTTACTGCCTCTCAACCTCTTATTTACTCACTAAATACATACTGAAGATACACGAACAACCAAGTTAATTCCAGTGAAAGTGTGTCTGTCATTCCTGCTTCTCTAATTCCACTGCCATTCTCCTAACGCAGGCACGTATTGACTCATCTCCAGACTACTGCGACAACCTTCTAACTGCTTCAGCTGGCTTCAAGCTCCTTCTGTCTATCATTTTTAAGGTAACTTTCTTCTCCTAAAAACATTTTAATCTTGCTACTCCATTGCAAAAGCAAGCTAGTCATGTATTTTACCTATCAACCTTTGCTTTCAAAATCTTCCATAACGTGACCACTCTCTACTTTTCTAACTCTACAACTATTCACACCACACCTTCCAATCAAGGTTATTCCATGATCTTCACACATATCTAACTTGTTTCTTAATTCATACTGTTTGTTCTGATTTAGAATGCCATCTCCTCTACTAAGCTAATTCTAAAGACCGTCCAAACTCTTAATTATGATAGACCACTTGGAGTTTTTAATATTGTCTGAATTACTCATGCCCTTATAATTCAGAAGATACAGCTGAATGCTCTGTTTCAAAAATGCTGACTTTTTCCCTCTTTTCCTAGATTTTATACCTTGGAAGCCAAAACTATGTGATATGACTCACAATATCTATCATAATCAAAACTTACTGACCGAAATTATTTTTGTCATATTTTCCAAACAAAGATGTAAAATGTGTTTTAGCATTAGTCTATTTCAGAAAGAATGTGAGATAGTAAAATTTAGTCCATAAAAAGAACCAAATAATACTAAATTTATTATTGTAAGTATACAGATGACAGAATTTCTGACTTCTCCATTTTGTAAAGGACTTTTAAAAAAGTAAACATTTTACTGTGGCTGTTTAATAATTTTTACTGAGATACATAAATAAAATTAAATAATTTAATGCTTATTTCTTTTGAAATAACAATGCAATTTCCACCCCATACTACAGTTTCTAGAAATAAGAGGTATACCAAATCCAACTGATCAATCAGAATCCATAAGAAAAAAAAAGAACCCACGAGGAAAAGAAATATTACATGAGATGTCAAGAAGTGTATCTTTCCCTCTTTTTTTTCTTTTTTAACTGAAACTTCACAAGAATGCTGACTTCTATAACCATCAATCTACAAAATTTCCCTATGGCATAACTATCCCACTCTTCAATAATGCTAAACACACACACGCACAAAGCAGTGGCAATCATGACGGATTTTAATTATTCATCAATTTCAAACTATTTTCTGGACAATGCCACTTTGTTCAATCTACTATTACTCTTAGTGATCTTCACTGTTACTGAGAATGCCAGTGTCCATAATTAATACTTAACATTAGAGTGCTAAAGTACACAGAATGCTGAGCAAGCACATAAAAGAGAAGGTTCCCAGATGGAAGAGCTTATACTAAAAGTTGGATAAAAGGTAACCTTACTTTAAAGGCTGATTAATGTATGGACTCTAGGGAGGCTTACAGATGGCACACTACTTAATAAATTTCAAACAGGATTAGGGATTTCTATAAACAATAAAAGCACCTGCATATTATACAGCATAAAGTTTCAAAGGCTGTCAGTGCACATGTCTCATACTAAAAAAACGAAAACCACCTGCAGCCAAATATCCATTTCTTCATATAGAAAGAGATAACAATAGTTCTGAAAATGCAGTAAATACTCAGATTACCAATAACTACAAAGGATGAATACAGTAAAAATATATGAAGTCCACAGGAATCTCCAAACAGAGAGCTCCGACTTTACATATCAGCAAGCTATCTTCAGCTAACTGAATAAAATATTTAAATTATTCTGTATTTTCGAGGGTAAAAAAAAAATTAAAATTTCAGATTAAACATACGCATACTGTTTGTCTGACAGGTGACGATATTTAAAAGAAAAAAAGGACTACCTGTAATTACTGTTTTGTAAATCGATTTTTTTCCCCATATAACATATCATGATCATCCTTGACATGCCATGAGAATGGCAGCACAGTATTTCAATTATATTGATGTTCCATAATACATTTAACTAATCTCCTCTTGTTGAGATTGTTAATAGTTTTCAAGATTCTTTAAAATAAGGCTCATCATTCAATACTGTTAGAGTAGAAGAATCAAGGCTAGAGTTTAGGGCAGTTAATTTCAAGACCAGTGCTACTTACACAACAGCTCCACGCTGCTTTTAAATACCAAACAGGAAGTCCTGCATTACAGTATGGAACTCTAAACTCAGTGAACTGTGTGGTTACTTTAATTATGTGCCTGCTTGAAATTGAAGGATTACGGTACTGCTTGTATCTGGAAGTTTACCCTCCTCTGTTAATAGTCTACAAACATAAAATCAATACTCTGGCCCATTAATCAATTGACACATCTCCCTGTGGGCATATAAGATGATTCAGCATGACTGAAATAGTCAGTCCCTGCTTCTGATCATCCTGCCTTCAGACAGCTCTTTCACCAAGCATTATGCCTTGGAAAAGGAAAAACTCCTAAGCAGAAAAATACTCTCCCTTCAGTGCCACTGCACTATAAAACATAGTGTTTCATTAGTAAACATTTACTTGACTGTAAGAAAGACTCTCATAACTGCCATATGACCCAGCAATCCTACTGCTGGGCATACACACCAAGGAAACCAGAATTCAGAGACCCGGGTATCCCAGTGTTCATCGCAGCACTGTTTATAATAGCCAGGACATGGAAGCAACCTAGATGTCCGTCAGCAGATAAACGGATAAGAAAGCTGTGGTACACAGCAAGCATCACCCTCAATGGTGAAAAATTGAAAGCATTTCCCCTGAAATCAGGAACAAGACAAGGGTGCCCACTCTCACCACTACTATTCAACATAGTTTTGGAAGTGTTGGCCACAGCAATCAGGGCAGAAAAAGAAATAAAAGGAATCCAGATAGGAAAAGAAGAAGTGAAACTCTCTCTGTCTGCAGATGACACGATCCTCTACATAGAAAATCCTAAAGACTCTACCAGAAAATTACTAGAGCTAATCAACGAATACAGTAAAGTTGCAGGATATAAAATTAACACACAGAAATCTCTTGCATTCCTATACACTAACAATGAAAAAACAGAAAGAGAAATTAAGGAAACAATACCATTCACCATTGCAACAAAAAGAATAAAATACTTAGGAGTATATCTACCTAAAGAAACAAAAGACCTATACATAGAAAACTATAAGACACTGATGAAAGAAATCAAAGAGGACACAAACAGATGGAGAAATATACCATGTTCATGGATTGGAAGAATCAATATTGTCAAAATGGCTATACTACCCAAAGCAATCTATAGATTCAATGCAATCCCTATCAAACTACCAACAGTATTTTTCACAGAACTAGAACGAATAATTTCACAATTTGTATGGAAATACAAAAAACCTCGAATAGCCAAAGTAATCCTGAGAAAGAAGAATGGAACTGGAGGAATCAATCTGCCTGACTTCAGACTATACTACAAAGCCACAGTCATCAAGACAGTATGGTACTGGCACAAAGACAGAAATATAGATCAATGGAACAGAATAGAAAGCCCAGAGATAAATCCACGAACCTATGGTCACCTTATCTTCGACAAAGGAGGCAAGGATATACAATGGAAAAAAGACAACCTCTTTAACAAGTGGTGCTGGGAAAACTGGTCAACCACCTGTAAAAGAATGAAACTAGAACACTTTCTAACACCATACACAAAAATAAACTCAAAATGGATTAAAGATCTAAATGTAAGACCAGAAACTATAAAACTCCTAGAGGAGAACATAGGCAAAACACTCTCCGACATAAATCACAGCAGGATCCTCTATGATCCACATCCCAGAATATTGGAAATAAAAGCAAAAATAAACAAATGGGACCTAATGAAACTTAAAAGCTTTTGCACAACAAAGGAAACTATAAGCAAGGTGAAAAGACAGCCCTCAGACTGGGAGAAAATAATAGCAAACGAAGCAACAGACAAAGGATTAATCTCAAAAATATACAAGCAACTCCTCCAGCTCAACTCCAGAAAAATAAATGACCCAATCAAAAAATGGGCCAAAGAACTGAACAGACATTTCTCCAAGGAAGACATACAGATGGCTAACAAACACATGAAAAGATGCTCAACATCACTCATTATCAGAGAAAGGCAAATCAAAACCACAATGAGGTACCATTACACACCAGTCAGGATGGCTGCTATCCAAAAGTCTACAAGCAATAAATGCTGGAGAGGGTGTGGAGAAAAGGGAACCCTCTTACACTGTTGGTGGGAATGCAAATTAGTACAGCCACTATGGAAAACAGTGTGGAGATTTCTTAAAAAGCTGGAAATAGAACTGCCATATGACCCAGCAATCCCACTTCTGGGCATACACACCGAGGAAACCAGATCTGAAAGAGACACGTGCA